GAGAGAGAGAGAGAGAGAGAGAAAACAGACAGACAGGCAGGAAGGCAGACAGGCAAACAGATAGACAGACAGACAAACAGATAGACAGACAGACAAAGAGTTTACATTGATTTGTGAGGCATTTTCCCGGATATTGTCAAAAAAGCTACATTAACCTGATCTTTTCTTGCAAAGTTCTATCTGTTCAGCAGGCTACCTAGTTTTGATAAATTTGAGGTAAAAAATTTAGAGCGTGTCAAGATTTTTAGAACGCAATTCTTTAAATATCTTGATAACAATTCTGAATAATCTTACGATTCTGACAGAGCAGAAAGAACATTTGGTTTCTGACCTCATAGTCTTAGTAACTTTAAACCGCCAGAAATGTCAGATAGAACTTTGTAATTCTGAGGTAGCGACATCTCTACCCACCTCTGGCAGTGTCCGGCCGCCGGCCAGGCAGAGGAACTCGAGAACGTTGTCCACACAGCCAGAGTCCGACATGCCTTCCTCGATGACAGGGTACAGGCCCTGCAGCTTGTCCTTGTACACCGTGCTGTTCATGATACCCTCGCGGGCCTTCATCAAGTTGCGGTTGCCGCGAAGTGTGTTGATCTCACCGTTATGCGCCAGCAACCTTTGGATCAGAAAACATTAGTACATTTTTTGTGGCACACATGTTTATTTTCCAGTTGTTTTTGTCCTTTACATTTGGTGGGGAAGGTGCAGTTTCAATTTCTATTCTTTTCACTGAACAGGGATAATAAAGTGTCATTTCAATTTAGCACTATAACTACTCATTACTGGCAGGAGAAAATGTGAAGTTCTGCCTTTCTTTGTCACAGCTCTTCTGCTTTTGACACAACTGGTTAAGTCTTACCGGAGATGGAAGTTAAATTTGGAGGTCCCACCTCTGTTATTGTTAGCGATCCATGAGGTCCCACCTCTTAAATAACCACCAACTGAGTTGAAAGGGGCATTAAACCTTTCACTTGCACACTTACATAAGGTTAAAGTGAGTCACTTATCCAGATAGCAAGTTTGATCATTACCTACAGGTAGGCTAGTAAATAATGTGAACACCCTTGCCTGCTTCAGGAATGGGACCCC